GGGGGTTGGGGATGAAGGGGTATCGAGCACGGGGGGGGGGGGGGGGGGGGGGGTGCAAATACAGGTAGCACCAGGAGCAGGACCCCTGGCAGCAGAGGAGAGGGGAAAAACAGAGTGAACACAGTGGCTCTGCACTTGAACCATTTCCTCGCACTCCTACTTGGGGTGAGGAGTTGCTCTGTCCAACTACTAACAGTGCAGGACTGAGACCTGACCTGGATGACCCAGTTCTCCAGAGTGACACACGGGGCCTGGTTGCTTACAGCTGGGCCACTTACTGGAGCTAGGAACAAGTCATGGATGGCACGATGCTGTTGGTCAGACTATAACAAAGAGGAGACATGCACACTGCTCTAGGCATGGTGGAACCTGACAGCAGCATGCTGGGGGGGAGCCAAACATCAGGAACATACTAACCTGGGTAAGGCACATTCAGAATGAAGGTCAGACCCAGGGCTTAGTAGGGAACGCTACAGTCCCTTCTCCCAGCATATACATGAGACATTACCCCCTGTTGATTAAGATATACCAGTCTCATTTTAGCCTCTAGGGAAGAAATATCTGGCAACTTTTAAGACCTGCCCTGCTTGCTGGTGCACCAAGATTCTTTTCTATGGCAGCATTGTTGATTGGCTTAGCGGTTCCAGAACCAGCCCCCTGTACTCTGATTTCCCTGAAAGAAAAAAAAAATGCTATTCTGGGTTTTGCCTACCCAAAGTTTCACCGGTTGAATTGGGCTTTTAAAATCAAAGCCCCTGTGTGAATACTTATTTCAGTTTAGCTCCAACTGACCAACTGCACTAACCTTGATTTAAAACTGAAAAGGTGCATCTGGCACAGTAATTTACACTGGTTTAGAATCACCCTTTTAGTTCATTTCCGCTTTCTTCTTTAGACAAACTCAGAGGGATAAAGAGCAGCTGTCCATCTCAACCATAAAGTTTTAGGTGGATTCTCCAAACTACACTGATATATCCCAAGACTGTACAACAATCCCTCACAGTCTGCTTCTGTCTTGACTATCCTAAACAGTTTTGTATCATCCGCAAACTTTACCACCTCACTGCTTACCCCTTTTTCCAGATCATTTATGAATAAGTTGAAAAGGATTGGTCCCAGGACTGACCCTTGGGAGACACCACTAGTTACCCCTCTCCAATCTGAAAATTTACCATTTATTCCTACCCTTTGTTTCCTGTCTTTTAACCAGTTCTCAATCCAAGAAAGGACCTTCCCTCTTATCCCATGGCCATGTAATTTACACAAGAGCCTTTGGTGAGGGACCTTGTCAAAGGCTTTCTGAAAATCCAAGTATACTATATCTACTGGATCACCCTTGTCCGCATGTTTGTTAACCCCTTCAAAGAACTCTAACAGATTAGTAAAACAGGATTTCCCTTTACAGAAACCATGTTGACTTTTGTCCAACAAATTATGTTCTTCTACATGCTTAACAATTTTATTCTTTACTATTGTCACCGGTCTGTAATTGCCAGAATCGCTTCTAGAGCTCTTTTTAACTATTGGTGTCACGTTGGCTACCTTCCAGTCATTAGGTACAGAAGCCGATTTAAAGGATAGGTTACAAACCACAGATAATAGCTCAGCAATTTCCCATTTGAGTTCTTTTAGAACCCTTGGATGAATGCCATCTTGTCCCAGAGATTTCTTACCATTAAGTTTTTCTATTTGTTCCAAAACCTCCTCTAATGACACTTCAATCCGGGACAGTTCCTCAGATTCATCACCCACAAAGGACGGTGCAGATTCAGGAATCTCCCCAATGTCCTCAGCAGTGAAGACTGAAGCAAAGAAATCATTTAGCTTCTCCTCAATGGCTTTATTGTCCTTGATTGCTCCTTTTATATCTCGATCATCTAGGAGACCCACAGGATTTTTAGCAGGCTTCCTGCTTCTAATGTACTTAAAACAGTTTATTTCTTTTTGAGTTTTTGGCTAGCTGTTCCTCAAAATCTTTTTTTCCTTTTCTTATTACATTTTTACACTTGATTTGACAGTGTTTATGTTCCTTTCTATTTATCTCACTAGGATTGGACTTCCACTTCTTAAAAGATGCCTTTTTGTCCCTCACTGCTTCTTTTACATGGTGGTTAAGCCATGGTGACTCCTTTTTAGAGTTACCTAAAGAGTTACTATTACTTATATTTTGTATTCCTGCATTTGTTCTGTGTCATTTTTAGCAGCACCATAAGGATCGGAAGGTAGACAAACAGGAAGGAGTGCAGTATGTGTTTAATCAGTCAATCGTTATTCAAACGTATCTTTAAAAAATAAAAATTGATCATTTTACTTTACAGTCAAATCTGTTTTCCCCACCCCTTTACAAAAAGCAGCTTCTTTGTACAAAAGATTAGGACTCAGCAGGTTACTGACACCATCAATCATTCTGTAAAGTGAAGAGTTCTTCCAGTGTCTTTTCCTTTCTAGTTGCCTGAAGTTTGAAGGAAACCCAATTTTCCTCTGTTTTGTAGAAAACAGAATTTAAAAAAAGGTACCCAAGTCTTTTTCTCAGAGACAAGTTCACTATACATTGCGTAACAAGTTCTTGAAGTTTTCCAGCTCTTTAACACTAGTTGAAATTCTGTATGCAAGAGAAGAGGAGGAAAAATGTTAGAGGAATCTAAAACACATGAGGTCTAATTTTAAATGTTTTTATATAAACACAAAGAAAATAGAAAACAGTCCTTGGAGCTAAGGCTTTTTGCATGTTAAAAATAATTATGGATCTGAAACAAGGTTTGCTGACTCATTTTAAAGCCAGATGCATTATACATTCTTAATGGCAACAGAATTGCACCCTTCATAAATACAAAGAAAATGAAGGTGCGATCAAATACACTTGCTCAAAGGTCGTCAGGAAGCCAACTATCTAATTCATAGGAACTGTCAGCTTACCGATAAACTGGTGTTTATTTTTAAAGTTTTTGACTTGCAAACACCAACTCATTTTATTGCAAAATGCATTTTGCTCTTGGAGGTTTGGCAGCAGTGGGGGGGGAAAAAAGCCGACTAGTGCAAGGAGCTGGCTTAACTTCCCATGTTTTTACAGCAATCTGCTCCTTCACTGAATTTTCTTTTCAAATATCGGACACTGAATGGTTGATTTGAAAGTTATTTGCAAGTAGATGGGGAAGCAAAGAATATGAAGTTTGTCTTGGTGTAGCACTTCCAGCCCATGTAGATGGAAAGAAAGGCCCCGATTGAAGCTGTAGCCAGCATAGTGGGGGTGTGACCACTGCACAGTTCTTTAGCATACAAAAAGATCTGGGGTGGGGGGGAACCTTCAAAGGGTCAGGATGGGGGAAAAAGCCTCAGTGTCATTAATCAGTGTTTTTTGGAAATAGAGTGTTTCCAGTTTCATAAAAGCTGTTTTCTAAGGTACAATTCAAGCACCATATTAAAAAGCAAAGAGCAGTAACTGGATTGTTGTTTTTTTTAAAGGGATGGCAGAAGCACTCGCTAGTTTTTTTTTTTTGCTCCTCAGCACAAGCTGAAAAGTGTCAATCCACTGAAGGAAGTGCTTAATGTTTTCCAGACCAATTGATCTACCCTGGAATTCCCCCCCCCCCCACGCCGCCT